TTTTAGGTAGGGATGATTTTAAGAAAATTTTAATTGACACACAGCTTCGAATATTTGGCTTTTAATTTGGTTTTATGGGGGTTTTTTTGTTCTTTGATGTATTTTGTTTGTCTGTTTTAATATGCTGTGCACCGCCCTGAGTCCTACGGGAGAAGGGCGGTATATAAATTAAATTATTAAATTAAATTAAATTAAAATATAAAGAATGGTTGCTGGATTTGGGTATGTCTAGTTTAATAAAAAGAAGGACTAGGGGTGACTTGACAGCAGTGTTCCAATATCTCAGGAGTTGCCACAAAGAAGAGGAAGTCAAGCTATTCTCCAAAGCACCTGAAGGCAGGACAAGAAGCAATGGATGGAAACTAATCAAAGAGTGAAGCAACCTAGAACTAAGGAGAAATTTCCTGACAGATAGAACAATTAATCGGTAGAACAACTTGCCTGCAGAAGTTGTGAATGCTCCAACACTGGAAGTTTTTAAGAAGAGATTGGACAACCATTTGTCTGAAATGGTATAGGGTTTCCTTCCTAAGCAGGGGGCTGGACTAGAAAACCTCCAGGATTCCTTCCAACTCTGTTATTCTAATTCTAATTCTAAAAAAACCCATAATAATTGCTAAAGTATGTAGAAATCAAGTGAAAATTAATTCTTTTTCATTTCAGCAGTTTGGGTGAAACAAAAGATGAAATTTCCTAACCTGAAATTAAATAAGGTGGGCTGAGCTGAAACAATTTCAAGAGGGGGAGGGGAGAAAGAAAGGTGGAATTTAATATCAGCATCTGAAAGGTAACTTGTTACCTTACCAATTTCCATTTTGTCAGTGTAGGACTCTTTCAAATAATCTTAATCAAATAATCTGCAAGCAAGATGAATTCATTCTGATTTTTTTTTAAAAAAGTATGCATGTGGGTTTCCCATTGTACAATGCAATCCCTGTTTAATTTAGAAGGAAACTGGCTAACAGGACTTTTTGCCATTTCTATGTTTCTGGAACTTTATAAAAAATTAATTCTTTTTTCCATAATCATTTGGAAATCAACTTATAACTGCTTATCCCAAAACGCAACTATTCACCCAATGAAAAAATCGGGGATGGATATTTTGGTGAGGCCTTGAATAAAGCAAGAATTGTCTCCTAAATTACTCCAAAGGTTAGTGACCACAACTGGCAACTCTGTTGTTAAGTCAAGGAGTTGTCATTAAAGGCACAACTGTGCTTACAATCTTACTTCAGCTTTCCTTTGCTTTACAGACCTGTGAAGATCGTTAATGAGAGGATTGGTTCTAAAATTACTTTTTCATCACTGTCATAATTGCAAACAATCACTAAAAGAGGCAGTTGTACCCTTTATGTGTACATGTGTACTTATAAATTTAACAAACATCCAAATAATTTTCTTCTCAGTGTATGCCTCTGATATTTATATGCAGTAGATCCTGTTTTATTTCAAACAGTGAATTTCCTGAATTTATTATAATGTTTAGTATATTGGAAACATACATGTATACAATATGATTGATCTACTCATCTGCACTGCTGCACTACTCTACATATCACTCAAATGAATATAAAACTGCTATCTTCCTTTTTTTTCTTTATTAGTAGTACAATATGTTTTGTGCCTTTAGTCTTTTTCATACTTGAACTTGTATCCATGACAAACTAGTTATGTTTAAATGAGAAAGAGGTGGGACTTTATCCAGGATAAAAGAAAAACAACAACAGTGAACATGTTTATCAACCTTAATGTGCATCATTAGTAAAACAAGCATTCCTTTCAAATAAGATAATAATTAAGCCTCAATTTATTTCTTCTCTGCTACAGAATTTTAATTGAAAAAAAAATCTGTTGTTGCATCTTTAGTTTCTTTAATGACATCCTGTAAATTTTATATTCTTTAATCTGGTATGGGTTTCTTTTTCTTCTTGTAAATTGATTTTTTTTCCTCTTCTCCCCGAACAATATCTGTTAGCATTAACACTTTATTTGTGAAAATTGCATTAGCTTGTGAATGGTATACAATTGATTCATACAATGAAGAACATATTTCATTAATTCTAATTAAAACATAGGCAGAGGGCTCATAAATGGTTCGTTATCTCATACATAATTATGTATATTAAAATTTTGAGTGCAAATTTTTAGGATTAAAATACGATTTTCTGAAATGGCACATTTTTATTTTTATTTCCTTTTTTTCTTTTCTCTCTCATGCATGCTGCCTGGAAACTGTTTTTCTTGTTCTTAGCAGTAATAGGTAGGCAACAGGTGACCACCCGAAACCCACCCAGCCTCATGAGCACAGGTGATTATCAGTACAGGAAAGGAACTGCCATAAAAATGCAAACATTTTGACAGTTACTGGATTGTTATGTCATTTGTCTGCATGTTGAAACAAGTATGCTCTCATTCTGATTTGTTTAATAGCATATTTCTTAATAATTTTACACTCTGCCAGCATAAGTGCAGTTTGAATATTTGCAGATAGCAGTTAAACAATACCTTTATCCAGAATGACACTCCATTGCCAAGCTAGCCTTAAAGTTTCAGATGTAATACTGGGAGCTAGTGATCTTCGGATTGTTTGTATGGATATTTTCCTAATAAACAAAAGGAATTGTTAGCAGTACTTCTTTTTTAAAAATAATAATTGAGAATCAAAAAAGGGTGTTGGAAAAAATGAAGTAAAAAATAAAGAAATAGAATAATATTAAATATCTTTTCAAATGGGTTGACATGATAAAAATATTACACTAGTCAGAAAACAAGCAGTTTAATTTTTAAGTTGACATACACAGAATGTTTAATATGGCTTCATGAACTTTCTCAAAATTTCATCTAATCCATGCACATAGAAGATAAGGATACAGTGTTTTCCAACAAAATGGAAACCAAGGAAGACTAAAATTATATATAATTGTGTGTGTGTGTGTGTGTGTATTGTGTGTAATTTTAGTCTTCCTTGGTTTCCATTTTATGGGAAAACACTGTATCCTTATCTTACCTTGTATAGTAGCTGATTAAACATGGCTTTGTTTTAGAATTTTGCTTTAAGTCATAATGCATTCTCTTAAGAAGAGCATACAAAGATGAGCTTTGTTCAGTTAAATAAACAGAGTTAGCTTAAGTTTGCTATATTTAAAATGGTTCCAAGCACCAATATCTTTTAGTGTCCAGTTAATGAAAGCAAGCAAGCAAGTTATGTTAGCATTATTTTATTCCAAATATAAGAATGTAGAAGATCTGTACTACATTCCCATTACTGACATCTTGAAGAATCAACATTCAGTTTCACTTTGTTTGACTCTCTTCATAATACAGGAGGATATTATGTTTTCTTTCCTCTTTCTGAAAAAGGAATACATGCAGTTGAGTAACACAAAGTCAAGAAAGGGTTGTAGTATATTTGTCATTTATTCATATTAAGGAGAGTATTTTGTTTGGTAGACTTGCAAATCATGGAAAATTTCTTTATCACATTTTCCCAGTATGTTGAACCTTTGAGGAAATGCATGAACAGTAAACTACAGTAGATCCACTGAATTCCAGGGACAAGCTAATAAAGCCAATATATACTAATCCAGTGAAAATATGGGCAAAATTTATCTTTCTGTTTTCCTTCAATATTCAATGTAACATGATTAGGATTATAGTACCTGTAGTAATATCAGAATATTATTTGTAGTTGCACAAAATATGAGGACAGGTTTGGTTGTAATAGTTACGGTACCACACTCCAAAATAGTAGAATCATGATTTCTAGTCCAGCCTTAATCACTAAGCCAACTGGTTGACTTTGAGTCAGTCATGCCTTCTCAGCCCTAGGAAGAAGTCAAAACCAAATCACTTTCAAAAAGATTGCTAAGAAAATCACAGGGACTTGTCTAGGCAGTTTCTAGAAGTAAAGACTGATATGAAGATAACCTAATCAAAATCAGAATTATGACTATTATTATGATTTCTTATAACTATAACTTAGTTGTTTGTATCTTACAATTTATATTAATTGTTTTATTTAGTATCCTAGATGATTTAAGTTGTTTGCTTATTTAGTATCCTATGATTATCACTAAGTGTTGTATTATGATTTATGATGATTTATATTTTTATGATGATTTTGATCATGATTTATCACTTGTTGCTTGTATGTACACAGAGAGCTTATGCACCGGAAACAAGTTGCTTTGTGTCCAATCACACTTGTCCAATAAATAATTCTATTCTATTCTATTCTGTGAGAAAGAAACTATCAGATGGGAACATGGAAGGAAAACAGCTATTTTTCCCCCCTGGAAGCCTGGAAGAACTTAGCATCTGACAATTACTAAATAGCAGTCCAGATTTGGAGTAGGAAGGCAATGTGCTACTATACTATTTGTCTTTGGGTAGATTTTTAATGTTTCTTCTTGCTCTGCTCCTAAAAGCATTTGTTGTAAAATAGAAAAAGAACCCAGTAAATAGGACATCCATGAATCTCTCTGAGTGCATATTGAGGTAAAGCTGCATCAGACATCAGCACAACTTGTAATTTGCTAATGGCAATATATATAGGAAATAATTGCCTCTAGAACAAAAGGAAGGCAGATTTACCCACTCCTCAATATATGAATAGCTCTATAACATCCAAAGTCTGTTCGTTTAAGTAATATTTAATTTACTAGGACTTGTTCTTTTGTATTATTGGCAGCCGTGACCAGGGGAGTGTTTTATCAGGTTCGCCTGATTCACCAGTTGCGGCCTTTTCTGGACCGGGACGCCTTACGCACGGTCACCCATGCCCTTGTCACTTCCCGCCTGGACTACTGCAATGCTCTCTACATGGGGCTCCCCTTGAAGAGCACTCGGAGGCTCCAGCTAGTTCAAAATGCAGCCGCGCGGGCGGTGTTGGGAGGGACTCGTCGCTCCCATGTTACGCCGCTTTTGCGCGAGCTGCATTGGCTGCCGGTGGCCTTCCGGGTGCGCTTCAAGGTGCTGACTATCATCTTTAAAGCGCTCCATGGCATCGGACCTGGTTACCTTCGAGACTGCCTCCTGCCACAGANGGGACTGGCCTAAGGGATTTTAAAGGGGTTTTAATTACTTTTAATCAGATCACAGTTAAATATTTCTTTTTAATTTAAATTTTAACAGGAGTATTGTATTTTTTGTATTTTAATTGATTGTTAGCCGCCCTGAGTCCGAAAGGAGAAGGGCGGGATATAAATGTAAATAATAAATAAATAAATAAATAAATAAATAAATTATTAAAGCAATTATATTGTTTGCAAAATATTCTACTTTCATCTAGGTCAAATCTATTATTTGCTGTTGGTCTTTTCATTTACTTGGACACTATTCATTTGACAAGTTCCTACTTTGTTTTATTTTCATATAGTCTTGATGCATTTCTTGTTAGGTTAGATTGATGAATATTGTCTTTGCATAATCACTCCAAAATATATACTGAAATGTAGGTTTCTTTCATACCATGATCAAATTGTGGAAAGAACAATAGTTATATTCAGAATAATAAATACTTAAAATTTACATGCTTGTTCAGTTTATATGAGAACCTTTTTTAAAAAGACTAATCATGATTTTTTTAAAATGTTCTTGAGGTGCATTTTGAGAGTGTGCTTATTAATTTAATATAATTACAGTTATTGTTAGAAAATTTTACAAGGAAAATCAATGACATTAAGGCTAATTCCATGTGGACAATTGTTTTTCTGTTCCACTACTATCCTAGACATACATAGATACATAAATAAAATGGAAGTAATGCATTCATAATCATTGAACTGAAACTTTTCTTAATATTAAGTTTCAGTTATATATATTTAAAAAACATTTGAAACAATCATCAGAAGATTCAAAAATGGCAAACACTTTACATGAATATATTTGAAGATGACCCAGACAATATTTACCTTATTATATAACATAGGACAAATGAAAAGGGTAGTTTGCAGTAAAATCACTTATCCAGAAGGGCTATACATTTCATAGGGTTTTATTCAGTTGATTGTCACCTGTATGAAGAAATGAAAAAGCATTGCAATGAAGGAATATTACATTTTGATTTTTGAGGAACAAAAACTGTTTCAACGGAACAATATAAAGCACCATTTTCAATTATCTTTGGTTATTTCAAAAGATTATGATTAATATATTATAGCTATCCACTGTCCTTAAAGCTAAGCTTCCAAATTCATGATAAGATACTCCTATTAATAAACCATCCTCAGATTTCTTGACTACTTATCTGATTCTGCTATTATCATCCTTAATATGTCACATTTCTTTTTTCCCCATACATTTGCTAAAGAATATATGCAATATAATAAACTTTTAATAATAACACTTGGAAAATACTATTCTTGGAGAAAGAAAAATTATTTACACCAGCCATGAGCCTTATGTGAAAATATGGAATTGGGGATAATTTTGTGATCAGAAAACAGTCACACAGAATCAGAACTTCCTTGTCTTGTCTTTTCCATGCCCATCATTTTGTTTTGCAAGTGAGAAAAGAATCCATTTTAAATTTATTAAACTAACAACATGGTTAAGGGGGTGCTCACAATGATAGCTCTGTGTGGTAAACTGTTTTGATATTTGACTATAGCTTATTCTTTTTAGAAAGTTTTCTGTCCACTTAGCAGGATTTGAGAAGGATCAGGTAGTGTTTCATTTCACTGTACATCTACAAATTCCATCTCTGCTTTGTATATTTATTAGATATTTTTAGACAGGATATCTAAAATAAACATTTTCCATTTGAGTTGGTAGAGTGGAATGTGATTCTGTACAAATAAAATGTTACAGAGAGAAGACAATTCCAGGTATTATGATATTTTTATCCAGATAGATTAGATTATGTCCAATAATTTACCATAACAGAAAAGTATATGTCATTATATCATGAAAGTTTCCTACTGTTAAATTGTTCTTCATGTTAAACAATTTCCTAATAGTTAAATGGAATTTGATTGGTTGCAATTTAAGTCCATTTTCCTGTGATTTGATTTTAGAAATGTTGAAAAATAGGTCAGATCTTGACCAACCTTATAGTGACATATTTGAAAAATGTTGTTGCACCAAGGCTAAGCATATTTAATTCCCTTAATCTCACAATAAAATTTGCTCAAGGTGGCAAGTCTACGAATACCAGATGAAAAAGAGAGATTATTTCCCATCACCCAGAAACTATAATTCTGTTATTGCAATTTAGCAATAGCAATACACTTAGACTTATATATCATTCCATTGTGCTTTACAGCATTCTCTGAGTGATTTACAATGTTAGCATATTGCCCCCAACAA